ACAGGAGCCTCAGAGAGGGGCCAGAGACAACCCAGGCAAGGATGAAGCTGGTTCCCTGGCTTAGAGCAGGTGGCTCAGCCTTGGTGCTATTGGCATTCAGGGCCGGCTAGTTCTTTGTCCTGCACCACACTCTTGTGCATTGGAGGACAGGCAGCAGCATCCCTGGCCTCCACCCACTAGATGGCGCTGACACTCCCCCAACTGTGACAACTGAAAAACAGCCATTCCCAAATGTTGCTAGGGCTAGGACAGGGAGGTAGAATTGTCCCCTGATGAGCCTTAGCCAGACCTGGAGGTTGAACAGGTTTGGGATTTGGGGGTGGGTACCATTCCCAAAGGGAATGTGCAGGGAGAATAAGCAGAGGCAGGTGACATTTCTCAAAGACAACAGGAAGCTGGGATCTGGCTTAGAAATGGCAGGACCTCAGCTTACCAGTCTGTGTAATGGGAGTGATAAGATCGCCTGTCCACGGGGGACCTGTGGGATGGAATGAGACCATTTCTGGACGTGACATGGGGTAACTGTGTACTGGGAGCGGCTTGTGCGGCTGGCACTGTTTATCTTTGTTACTTCCCTGCAGTAATCTGGCTGTCACTCTCCTCCTTGTCCCCACCTGTCCCAGGCAGCTGCAGGCCTCTCAAAGACTAAGCCAGTTCCCATTTCCACCCAGCTGAAGAAACCTCGGTGGATCTCCTGCGGATGTTGTCTTGAAAGTGTCTGCACAGAGCGCGGGTCCCCGGAAGGATTTCTCCAGGAGGTGATGAGGTGTCACAGGCTATGAGGCTTTCCCAGGAGGGGATGTGTCACCACCAGCCATTTGACAGGGAAGAGAACTGCTCAGAGAGAAGGGGGACAGGCGGGAGCCCAGCTCAGCACGGGGCGGGTGGGGTGCAGGTGTCACACACATGATGGCAGCACCTATCCTGCTTTGAGCTCAGCAGAGGGACAAGACTGGGTGAGGGCATAAGTAAGAGAGAAGAGGTAAAAGTGTTTCCGAAACTGTCACCTCTACCCTGGGACAGCAGGGAGCTGGGGTGTCACACATTGGAGCGGTGGGAGAGGGCCGTGGACTGGCACCTGGCCCCTGCCTGGCTGGGGACAGAGGACAGAACACCCTTCCCTGCAGGGTGCAGGGTGGGGGGCTCCCTCCAGTCAGGAAGGCAGGAGGTGTGCACCCAGGTGCTGTGTTTATTGTACCCTTGTTTTGCATTGAATCTGGATTTAAAACTGTTACGCAAAGAGTACTCGCTGTGGCAATTAAGTATTTATACTCTCATTTAGCAATTTCCATTTTAGAAAAGAAAGCACACGTCATCAATGCCTGCCACTGCTGGCCCCTGCCCAGAGCGGCCCCAGCTTCAGGTGAGCCCAGCACAGCGCTGTCCCTGGTCCCTGGGGGCCCCTAGAAAGCCAGGTCGGGGATGGGGTTGGGGAGTGGAGCGGAGGCAACCTTAACCTGCAAGCGGAGCATGGTGCCTGACAGAGGACTTGATCTCAGGATCACAGCGCTTGGGTGCAAGCTCTGGCTGCAGCATGAACTAGCAAAATTAACTAGCAAAGTTAACTTCTCCGAGCCTCACTTTCACTGTCGGTAAGATGGTTATGAGGATTGCTGTGATGTGGCGATGTTGTGAACCTGAAACGAGATGCAGCTTGTGGTCCCCCGTCATATGGTGCCAAAGACCAAGAGAGACGGCTAAGATGCAGGCTCTCAGGCTGTTCCTCAGGGCTCCTGATCAAGTAAAACTAAGTCAGGATGCGGGGACATCCCGATCAGCTTCTAGGTGACTGTCACCCAGGCACATCCTTAGGAGACATGACTGTCTAAGCGCATCACAAGTCTTCAGTACATGTCATTACTGCAATTACCACAACAAAAATGATACATGATGAAATATCCCAAAACCCAGTGGCTTAAGTCTTCGCTGGGGTTGTCCACAGGTCCTATATCCACTGGCCACACACATACCTTGTCCACCCCTGGCTAGTCTATGTAGGTGCTCACAAAGGCAGTAGAGGTTCAAATGCTTTTAGGTCTCTGCTCACTACTACTGTTTGAGCATTTACTATGTACAGGGCATGGTGCGTAATGTTTTTTATCTAGTCCATATGATGCTAACAGTGAACTCACGAGGTTGTAGTTTAGTCCCTAACACTTTGTAGCAAGCTACATACTTGGTGGCTTAAGTAACACAGATTCATTATCTTACAGTTTTGGAGATCAAGAATGCAAAAAAAAAAAAAAAAGAATGCAAAAAAATATTGCCTGCCTCACAAGCACAAGTTCCCGAGTTTGATTCCTGGTACCAAAAAAAAAAAAAAAAAAAAAAGAATCCAAAAATGGGGCTATGGTCAAGGGTTCAGCAGGACATGTTCCTTCTGAAGGGCTAGGAGATAATCCAACCCTTGTCCTTCTATAGGCCATGCACATCCCTTAGCTTGGGGCTCCCTTGCAGCAAAGGGATAACTGGAAGCATGGATGGATGGATGGGTTGGTAGATGGATGGATGGGTGGTTGGATGGATGAATAGATGGGTGCATGGGTGGTTGGATGATGGATGGTAGGTAGGTGGATGGGTAAATGGGTAGATGGACTGGTGGGTAGATACGTGTATGGATGGATGGACGGATGGAAGGGTGATGGATGGACAGATGATGGATGGGTGGATAGGTGGATGGACGGACACTTAGAATGTCTTCTCTCCTCTCTAGGTTCTTGTTTCCTTAACTAAGATGATTGCAAAACGTCCTTTTCCCATTCCAGTCCCAGAGCTGGGATTTTTTTCTACCTCCACCAACACCAGAATGCTTCCCACTTGGCTTCTCAGAGAGGGCTTGTTCTCTTTTCAAGCCTCCCACTGAACCAGTCTGCTCCAGTTATGAGAAAATAAGCCTGTCACTTAATCACCAGTGATGTCAGTCGGGAAAACTTAAACAAAGAGATTAGTTCTGCTTTTCTTTGTCAGTGCAGTGGAGAGCATGAAATATTTAACAGCACCCTAATGTGGAACAGATGGGACCCTCCGTCTCTTCCACGTCTACCAACAGCCAAGCCGGGAGGCCCATTGGGAGAGTGTATGGGCTGGAGAGCTGCCACAGGACTGCTGGCCCGGGAGCTGCAGGTCCGGGTCAGCCTGACCCAGCCTGCTCAGTTATCCATTGAGGGGATCAAGTTGCATTCCCAGGGAACCCTGGAAATGCCACAGTGGGTCCAGATGTGATATCAGGGTCAGGTCCCCACAAGCTTTTTGCATTTATCATTGTTTTTCCACCATGTGTTGATTACATCATGGAATTCTACCCACAAAAGCCAAAGCTTTGAAAAATTACCCAGGATCAAATTTTGGGTATGTGCTGTGTGACCTTGGGCAAGCCAGTTACCTCTCTGAGCCTGTACTTTCAGCAGTAACAGAGAGATGAGCCAGCTGGAAGTTTTGCTGGGAAGCCAAGTAGGATCATGCATGAAAAGCCTCAGAGAAACCCAGCAGAGCAGGTTCAGGCTGAGCTCAGGCTGGTGGAGAAGTGACCAAGCTCAAAATCTGGGTCCCCTGGGAAGGTTTCCCCACACATGTGGCTGCGGGTTTGCACCACACCGAATTGCAGCATTTTTGAGCTACAAAGGATCTCGTGAATTATTTAGACCAGGGCAGCAACTGGACAGGCCGTGCCTCCCTCTGTGATGCTTCTTGGTGTATTGGATTGTAGTGAAGTGTGTTTGCTGGCCATACTGGGGGTTGAACCCAGGACCTTCTCACTGAGCTACATCCCCAGCCAGTGTTTTATCCTGAGACAGGGTCTCACTAAGTTTTCCAGGCTGAGCTTGAACTTGAGATTCTCCTGCCTCAGCCTCCCAGAGTGCTGGGATTGCAGGTGTGAGCCACCACGCCCGGCTCCATGATGCTTTTCTACATTTTATGTAGCCTGCTGTTCTGTGTTTCCTGTCCAGATTCCAAAAGCAGATGGGTTTATGGACCTGTGTTTCGAGCAATCTCCTTCATCTTTGAGATGACACTAGGAACAGAGCGGGGTGAACGTGCTCCTTTCTGCCTGGCCGTGGCAGGCGTCGTTCAGTGACGGTGCAGCCTTCCCTAAGGTGTGCAGCCCTGGGGCATATCCTCTCTACCCTCAGCAGTACCACATAGTCAACAACAACAACAACACAAAACCCACGGACTGGGCAGCCAGCCAAGTAACCTATTAGGCTCTGAGGGTGAAGAGATTTTGTCCAGATCCGCAGCTCTGCTCAGTCCCCTTACAGCCTGCAGAGGGCAGAGGCCACACTGTGGTTTGTGTTGCTGAGCGGGGCACATTCTTTGCCTCGAGGGAGGTCACAGTGTTATGGGCAGGGCCACAGAGCTCACCACACCGTGCCACGCCACGCCGCAGCTCTGCCGAAACCACAGCTCCCCGAGGTCCTAAGCCTGGGGTCAGTAAAGAACTAAAAAAAGGCAAATTCTGGTATAACAAAAGACAGTTTTTTAAAAAAATAAATTTTATTGGTACATTTTAGGTATACAATATGACATTCATCACTGGGAATTTGCACCTTTACATACTCTCTCTTGGTTCTTATTTTTCCCCCTTCCTCTGCCCTCCCTTCAACCCCTCCATCCCTCCCTA